AATGATTCAATGACTCACTCAAGATTCACTTGTTTCATTACAAGATAAATCAGTGTTTTTGAATGAATGATTCAAAGACAAATAAATTTTTAACTGCCCCTTTTCGCCAGCTGTAAATAAGGATGCACACACAGGAATTGATAGGTGTTTACAAGAAGCCTTTTTTTTTTTTTTTTTTTTGCATTTACAGCTCACTTGGCGTACCTAAAAGCCACATAATTATTCTTTAATGTTTTATAACCTCCAAGAAACGGCATGTTTCAGAAGCGGCTTCAGTCTCCTTCAGTTAAAGATAATGTTAGTGCGGTGGCTGCGATATACATAAACCTACCAACATCGGACTTATCGCAAGAGGAAAAATTAAGTTTTAGTTGCATAACATCGGTTAATGGAAACACTGTCATTTCGTAATAGTTTTTAATTGACATTTTGTGCAAATCTGTTCAGCTGCAGTGTGAACGCTGCTCATCCAGATCATGTTATTCAGATTTTACTGTGATTTCATCTGGTTTCTTCTCCACAGCTCGTGATTCAAGGCAGTGATGATATTGCCACTCGAGCGATAGACCTCCTGAAGGAAATATACACCAACCTCGGACCAAAGCTACAGGTGAATCAGGTGAGCCGGTGTTCCTCGCCCGACCGCCAGCCGCTAACACGCCGCTAAATCACGTCTGATCCGCTGCTGTTATCATTTACAGGTGGAGATCCATGAGGACTTCATCCAGTCGTGCTTCGACCGGCTCAAGGCCTCGTACGACACGCTGTGTGTGCTGGACGGAGATAAGGACAGCATTAACTGTGCCAGACAGGAGGCCATACGCATGGTGCGCGTTCTGACGGTGCTCCGAGAGTACATCACCGAGTGTGACAGCGACTATCACGAGGAGAGGACCATCCTGCCCATGTCCAGGTGCCTGCTGCAGTTATACCAGACCTTCTGTACTTCAGCACGCTAGCTGTGTTTACATACAAACATTCAAATTTAACTCATGCACAAAACTGGAATATCACATAAAACATTTGTGAATAAAGCACCGTTTCCATGCAGCGAGTCAAAGAGAACAGAATCGTCACTTCCTGATAAACTGGCTCTACATTATTGTTTCTCCTCTATGCCCCGCCTTTCTGAAACTTTTTACAAAGCTCATCGGTCTGAAAAGCGAGGTGTGCTGTGATTGGCCAGCTATCCAGTGCGTTGTGATTGGCCGAATACCTCAAGCGTGAGACTGAAATGTTACGCCCCTCACCATACTGTGATGCCTTGTCCCGGCGCGATGAGACAAAAACATTAAAACCCATTATAAACGAGGCATCCGTTGCATCCAATGGGGACATAATTACTGATTATAATGACTTATACTAAGAGAAAGGAAAATCGCATCATATGACCCCTTTAAGACAATTATACAGAAATACTTTAACGACAGGCTTTGCTCAGGCCTTTCAGAACGACCAGAACAACATATAGATGCTGTGAACGAGATCGGTCCGCTGGTTAGTCGAGTTATCCCGTCTCATAGCGCAAAGCTTCATGACTTTTTCGATGCACAAGGTGGAATTTATTCAGTAAATGTGTTTCCATCATAGTTTATGCGCAATTATTATTATCAGTCAGCGGCAGCGCACGAAGTGAGCAGAGAAAATAGTACTCCTCTCAAAAAACATACAAATAAAGATAATTGTAGATGTTTAATTACTATTTGGAGCATTGGGATTGCTAGACGAGGGCTTAATCAAGTCATTTTTGTGAAAACCTCAAATTCAACCGAAATCGACATTTTTCACTTTTTTTTGTCTGTAGCTCAAAATTAGCCTTTGTGCATTCACACTCATTTTGCCAGCACGGCTCACATTTTAATTAAACGAGGTCAGAACATTTTTTAAAAAATGAAACATGCTTAGATGAATTCTTCTCCGTATGATCTATAACATGCATTTAGAAAACAGATGAGGTGAATTTACATTTCAACACATGCAGTAGGAAGCCAAACAGTGACAAAAGGGTCTGAACTGCTCTCTGGTGTTGTCTGTGTCTGCGCTCCAGGGCGTTCCGTGGGAAGCACATCACTCTGGTGGTGAGGTTTCCCAATCAGGGCCGTCAGGTGGAGGACTTGGACATCTGGTCCCACACCAACGACACCATCGGCTCGGTCCGCCGCTGCATCCTCTCTCGCATCAAAGCCAACAGCACACACACTAAAGTAGAGCTGTTCATCGGAGGAGAGATCGTGGACCCCGCTGAGGACCGCCGGCTGATTGGACAGCTCAACCTCAAAGATAAAACTGTGAGCTTTACAGATGTCTCAGTGTGTATGTTAGGGGTGTAACGCTACACAAACATGACGCTACCTCGGTTTTGACCTCACGGTTCAGTATGGTTTCGGTACAGCAGTGCCAGTAGTAACACTAGTTTACTGCACAAATTGCTTTTTCTTTTCAATTATAATTTTCTTCTCCTAAAAACTTCTCCTCTGAACCATAGGGAGCACTTTTACAGTACTATAAGATTACAATTAACAACAGAGCCCTAACTTAAATTCAATTACTATTTATTTTGAACTATAATAATCGACACTCAAATTAAAAATGTGTACGCAAACATGTAAATTGCACATAACTTCTAAATTATACAGTTTCTATTTGTTGTTGAAATATAATCATTTACACAGTGGCTGTCGTAACTTTTCATAAAAGGTTTATTTAAATATACATTAAATGGTTAAGACATCACTAACAGGTAAAGTAAAATATAATGAGTGTATAGTCTAATATTTCTCGAGCAAATAACGAGCTGTTGGACACTGATGACTTGCCTGAGGGAAATGAAATGCTGCGTGACATTCTGTTTACAAGCTGTTTTAATGACGTCTTTCCGCGGTTGAAACATGATTGAGTGATTAGATTACACGAGGCATGAGATGTTCATTCATGTTTATTTCACATTAAAACTAGAAACTAGTTGTAAAGAGGAACGGAGTTAGAACTGAGGCTTCTATACAGCGATCTGTCTCGCCACATCAAAGAGCGCCAAAACGGTATTCTTTAAATTTCCTGAAAAAATTAAAAAAGATTTGTTCGGTACACATGTGATACACAAATTTTCAGTACGAATACGTGTACCATTACACCAGAGTATATACTGATATTTGACGTGAAGCGTCCAGAGATGAGCTGCTAAAACTCTGACTCTTTCTGTAGCTCATCACAGCGAAGCTCACGCAGGTCAGCACCAACATGCCCTCCAGCCCCGACAGCTCGTCCGACTCGTCCACCGGCTCGCCCGGGAACCACACAAACCACTACAGCGACGGCCCGAACCCCGAGGTGGAGAGCTGCTTGCCAGGAGTGGTGAGAACCATGTTTGTGCTTCACACTTTATACAATAGTAGTTCAATAAACAAGAAGTTAAAATTAAGTGACTTACATTTCAGACACAATATTGACTGTTTTTGCTCAATTTCGCTGACAAAAATAGTTCGTCAAAGCCACAGCAGAACTGTTGTGTGTCTCCGAGCAACACAGCGGTGTTTCGTTACTGAATGAATCCACGTTTTTGAACAAATCAAGTGAGTCGATGATTCAGTTAACCGTTCATAAAGACAGTAGTCACTTGCCTCGTTTCTGAATGAATCAGCCGTTTATATGAATCTGTTGAATGAAGGACTAAATTTGTCATTTGCCGCCACCTACTGGTTTGGTTTCATATTTAAACCTATCATTGCATTTTCCCAACATTTTTTTATTTGTATGTATATATATTAATCTTATCAAATTCTTTATGCATTCTAAATTTATGCAGCTCAACTTCATCAAATGCCACTTCAGATGCAGCTCCTGTGGAAAGATGGAGTTTTTTTAATTTGACGTGAAAAATTACACATTTAATAAGGTTAGGGAAAAAATAAACATACAAACAAATTATATACAGCAACTCCTTTTCAGTTCATTGTTATTTCTACCTCTTTTCTCGTCACAGAGCACTTTATTTTGAGAGTTGTTTAAGTGAGAGAACATTTGTAACTTTTTTTTTTCTTGTGTTTGATGAACAGACGTCACAGCAGCTGGTTATTAGGTTATTTGGCTGCTATTACTTTAAGAGCTGCCGCTGCTGAACGTGACACAGATCTGACACGCATACTCGTAGTTTCATTCGTGCTTTAATATGAAATAATTCATGTTCTACTGAAGCTGTACCGTTTCTGCACTCGTTTGAGGTGAAGTTGGAGCTCGCGTCTGAACGGTCTCCTGTTTGATGTGCTCGTAAAGACGTTCTGCGTCTAAATAAATGCAATTCTTGTCAAGAAAAAAGAGACCGAAACAGCAGTTGTGCGTGGGGTGGCTAACCCTAGCTCCGTCCCTGCGTTAAATAATTTTAACGCCGTTAAACTAGAAAAATTAATTGCCTGCATTAATGCGCTAATTTTGACAGCACTAATATAAACCTATAAATCTTCTAATTAGAGCTGCACGATTCTGGAAAAAAATGAAAATCACGATTTTTTTGTCACAAATAGAGACCACGATTCTTTAATTAATTTGAATGAATTATTAAACATTTTAATATATTTACATTTAGTCATTTAGCAGACGCTTTTATCCAAAGCGACTTACAAATTAGATAATATATAACTAATATATGTATTTAAAATATATATTTAATACACCAATTTTTAATATTAATTTTAATTAAAGTGATTTGAATGAATGATTCAATGACTCACTCATAAATACCTCACTTGTTTCAGTACTGGATAAATCAGCGTTTTTGAACGAATCTCTTGAATGAATGATTCAATGACAAATACATTTTTAAACAGTCACTTGTCGCCACCTAGTGGAGAGACGATGCAATCGACAAACGTTATTTGAAGCAGCAGTTACTTTCAAAAGAAGCCTTGCTCTATTTTGATCGCTACCTTAGACATCAGTGTTTATATCCAAACTAACCTTTCATCCCAGTATTTCTGTGATAACATGAATGACTGTAAGACAGAAAAATACTGTTTGTGAAGCTGTTTCTTACCTAAACACGGTAACCTCTCTCTGTCTCTCTCTCTCTCTCTCTCTCCAGTATTACTTTTTCCAAAGGTTTAATAGACACGGGCGAAATTAGATGGTGTGGGTGACTGAATCAAGATCGCGATCTTTTAACGATTAATCGTGCAGCTCTACTTCTAATACACTGTTAAATCTTAATAATTTTGAGGTTTGTTAATGCATATTGTACATGTAAAACAATTGATTTTAGTTATTAGTCTTATATTTGTCATTGATTTTGACAAAATCCTGCGGAATATCAGTCATTTATTGGTTATCAGGTTATTGGTATCGGCCAGAGTTTTAATTTCTGGTCTAAACCGCAGAATAGTCTGTCAGCACGTCTTGTTGAGGTGACTGTTTTTCTTCTCTCCTCAGATCATGTCGCTGCATCTGCGCTACATCTCCTTCTTGTGGCAGATCGCTGATCTGGGCTGCACCCTGAGCATGCCGTTACTGCGAGACGGAGCTCGAGTGCTCATGAAGCTCATGCCTCCAGGTCGCAGCAAACATCGTGACGACTTGCTCTGTAGCATGCGGTCTGGCTGTGAGGGTCACTGATATGTGCTGCTTGTGTTCACAGATAACACTACAGTGGAGAACCTGCGAGCGATCTGTTTGGATCACGCTAAGCTGGGAGAGAACAGTCTGAGTCCCACTCTGGATTCACGCTTCTTTGGCCCGTCCGCTTCACAAGTGCTCTACCTCACCGAGGTATCTTCATACTGCTGACACGTAACAGTCACACTAGCTATCGCTCGTTTCACATCAGTCGTCTTTGAGCGTGTGGGCCGCAGACTGCAAATCAGCGCGCTAGGTTTTGGAGCAAATCTGGTATTGCGGCACGATTCATCAAAATAAAACTGAAATTAGATTAAAGCTTTAGACGAGAAGCTTTTTTGTCAAAGTTTGAGGGTTTAACATTTTGAAAATTAAAGGGCTACTCCACCCCAAAATGAAAATTCTGTCATTAATTACTCACCCTCATGTCGTCCCAAACCCGTAAAAGCTTCGTTCATCTTCAGAACACAAATTAAGATATTTCTGATGAACTCCGAGAGCTCTCAGACCCTTCATAGACAGCAAGGATCCTAACACGATCGAGGCTCAGAAACATAGTAAGGGCATCGTTAAAATAATCCATGTGACATCAGTGGCTCAACCGTAATTTTACGAAGCTACGAGAAAACTTTTTGTGTGCAAAGAAAACAAAAATAACGACTTTATTCAACAATTCGTCTCCAGAATAAGTATATCTGTGAAATTATTATATATTATACTGATATACAATCATATTAGTTTTATATATATATATATATATATATAAAAAATTTTTGTGTGTAGTAGTATTAACAATATTAACAATAACTAATAGTGTAGACATTTTAATAATATTGTAATTATTTAATGTAGTAAATATTATGCTTTTGTTTAGTTGTAGTAGTAATAATAATAATTAGTAGTAAGAGTAGTTGTATATTATCTGTTAAATAATTATTATATATTATACTGATATATAATCACAGATTTTATCAGGAGATTCCCAATGAGATGTTGTCCTGCAGCATTGAGGTGTGGTTTGTGTGGTGTCAGGTGGTGTATGCGCTGCTGATGCCAGCCAGTGGAACTCTGGGAGACGACGCCAGTGGCTTCCAGTGCAACTTCCTGAAGAGTGGCGGTCTGCCTCTGGCTCTGGGCATGCTCACCAGGAACAACTTCCTTCCCAGTGCGGACATGGAGACGCGGCGCGGCGCTTACCTGAACGCCCTGAAGATCAGCAAGCTCCTGCTGACCGGCGTGGGGTTCGGACACGTGAAGGCCGTGGCGGAGGCCTGCCAGCCGCTGGTGGAGGGAACCAGCCCCGCGTCTCCGGTGCGCCTCGCCTTAACACCAGACTTCACTTCAGGGATGTAACCATAGCAACATCTCACCATACCATAATATCTCAGTGTGAAGTCCTCGGTACGATATTTATTGCAATATAAAAAAAAAAAGACAAGTGAAGACTTGGGAAAAAATTAAAGTTTTATGCATTTTAAAGTTAAATTCTTCTATCTAATGCACTTTGAGAGTTCAAAATTAAGAGCTGCAACCCTTGTTCTTATCTAAGAAAACTTAAGTCAGAAAAAAGTCAGTGAATTGACTTGAACCTGAACTTTAAAGGAGACTCAACCCTCTTTTTATTTGTGATATATACTGTCTCAGTCTAAACTACACTCACACTGGGGTTTTAAGGAGGTCAAACAAATTAGAATATAATAATAATAACAACAATGACAGTAATAGCCATAAATTGTAAAACAGTGTCAAACGAGTAATCGCATCCAAAATAAAAGTTGTTTACATAATATGTATGTGTGTGTACTGTGTATATTTATTACGTATATATAAATAGACACACATGCATGTATATATTTAAGAAAAATATGTTATGTTAGTATATTAAATATATTTATATATCAATTAAATTATATGAATATAAATATATACATGTAAATATTTTCTAAATATATACATGCATGTGTGTGTATTTATATATACATAATAAATATACACAGCACACACACATATATTATGTAAACAAAAACTTTTATTTTGGATGCGATTAATCGTTTCATACCGTCACGTGACCACGATAATATCGAGACCGTTTTGCTATCGCGATATCACGAGATTAATATTATGGTTACATCCCTAAATCTGAGACTTGGTTATATTTCTTCACGGTGATGTGACTGTGTTTGTGCTCCAGATAAATCAGGCGACCCATGAACAGGCTCTGGTGCTGCAGAACGCTCTCCAGAGCATTCCCAATCCCGCCTCCGAGTGCATGCTGCGCAGCGTGTCCCTCCGGCTGGCCCAGCAGATCTCTGACGAGGTTCCTGACCTGCACCGCTTTACAGTCGCTGTGTGAGGCCTACTTCACGCTGATATTCCTAATTGTGTTGCTTTCCGTCATTGTGCAGAACTTCTTCCAGGCCTCAAAGTACATCCCGGATATCTGTGTGATCCGCGCCGTGCAGAAGATCGTCTGGGCTTCCGGTTGTGGGACGGTGCATCTGGTCTTCAGCTCGAACGAAGAGATCAGCCAGATCTACGAGAAGGCATGTTCAGGGTTTCTGCAGGATTTTTAACCTCAAATTTAAGACTTAAGACCTGCACAAATTAAATTAATACCGTATGAGAGCGGGGTAGGGGCAATGTCTATGGTAACAATGTCTATGTAAAAAGCATGATTTACAGTTCAGATACAAGTTTTCACAAAAACAAAAAGTTTTATAAAATGATAAGCTTCACATTTCGGCCTTTAAACCATTTTTAGGAAAATGTATGAGTCAAAAGTATTAATTGTTATATTAATTCAAACAATTATTATATTAATTAAATAACATATAAATACATCTTACTGTTTAAGTTTTATTATAAAACAGATAGTTCCGGTGCTTGATTCTGATTGGCTGAGCTGCGTTCGAAGCTGTTGTAAATGACTCTACAAAGTAACATACACTTTTGTTTACATCTGTTGCTCGGCAACCACTTTGTAGCAACCACAACTGTTTCTGAGGAGCTACATTGTTTGGTGGAAGAACACTGTTTTTATTAATATCATTACACTTTATTTGCTCTGTTTTATTTTGTGAAACCTTACTACGTATATGGAATAACCGTTTTATAAAAGCAATAAGCCACGTGAAGCCGTGGTTTACAGTGAATTTATAACAGCTAAGAGGGATGACTCCGCTTAGCGTCGTGCCTAACAACGCCCCTTAACTGTTATAAATTCACTGTAAACCACGGCTTCACGTGGCTTATTGCTTTAATAATGCATCATCTTCTTATCGATCCACCAGTTCACATTTACAGCTCTGTGTGTTTGCAGGGTTTGATTTCTGCATTGGTCTGAACAAAAACAACAGGCTTATTTGCTTTCGGAACGGCAGAAATATAACAACTAAACGCTCTTGAAATCATAATTAAGACTCTCTTGTACAATTTAAGACTTTGGCCTGGTTTCACAGACAGGGCTTAGACTAAGCCAGGATTAGGCCATAGTTCAATTAGGACATTTAAGTAATTTTTCATAAACATGCCTTAGAAAACACATTTCTGGTGTTCATCTTGAGACAAAACAAAGGCACTGATATATTTTAAGATCAGTCAAGTGCAAGTTGACACAGCTCAGACTTACATTTTAGTCTGGGACTAGGCTTAAGCCTTGTCTGTGAAAGCAGGGGTTTATGGCCTTAC